CCTAGATAGGTTAGTAGGTGCCTAGCTATACCTAGCTAGGCCTAGTGGCGGGCTTTTGCGGTGAAACCGCAACCAAATCGCATCGGATTCGATTTGAATTTGATTTCTTAAATTTCAACTCAAAGTCGCATCAGTTCGGTTCCAACTAAGGTTGGACTTGCCCGAACTCGCACCAAATGCAACTCTACTGCTACCTGTGATTTTAATATAGTAGTACTATGCCTGTAAACCCTCTGTGTCTTCTAGTTCTATGGATTATATAGGCACAGGGTACTATAGTACTGAAGAGAGTCAGAAGCTAATTTATAAACTTGATCGCGTGGTTGTCTTGGGAAAGTTCTTTGGTTTGGTAGGAGAGACATCCAGAAATATTCTGCAACAGCTTATCTAACTATACTTATTATCACTACCTAGCAGGCCTGTGATTTACAGCCTCCCAGTAAGTAATTCTAGGTCATACTTTTTAGGATTTGCATTATAGCAACCGGGCATTACTCTATTGAATTACTTTCTTAGTCTTTTCCTGTACAGGCCGTAAAGGACACAGCGATGACCACGCTTCAGAATGTGCAACGCAAAGATGACCTTGCCCCTGGATTCCTCAGACGTTTTGGCCTCGTGCCTTGATCCGTTGGAGCCTCTGAGCACGTAATGTTTATTGTGCTATGTTGACCGTCCTTACATTACGAGAATCCAGCTAAGTTGGGATAACATTCAAGACTCGCGTACCTCAGTATGTTGTTTGAGCTATCATGACCATAAAGCTTGACGTCTCCATGAGAGTGAACCATAGTCATTGAAACAGCAAATAGTCCCATCAGGTGAACGTCCAAAATCGAGCAAGATCCGATCAGACGGGAAAGAAAATCAAACTCAGAAGAAGATCAATGTTGCTAGTTGATAGTTTTTGACTGTGACAGTCGCGTCTGAGTTCTTGGGGTCATTGACAGACTCCTTGAACTAGGTGTTAGTGAAAATGCGTCGCTTCCGCAAGTGAGAATAGCCTACATCTTTTTCCAGGTTTTCTTGCTAATGACAATAAAGCTCATTCTGGTCGGTGATCAGTCCAGGGGGAAGGCCACCCTACTCAAAGCACTGACTGGGCTGTCCTTCCCAATAGCTAGCGACCTCTGCACCCGGTTTGGGACTGAGATTGTACTTCGTCGGTCGAGCTCCGAGGATGCAGCAAGATAGAGCTTTCCGGACTGGAGCAGCGGCGTCTCAGCGTAGTCGAGTACCTGACCTTTTTCACAATAGGAACAAACGTAACTTCACATAAATGTTTTCTGACGAAGGTAGATCCCACAAGGTACCAGACGGCCCAGGGTCGTGTCATTATTCGAAATCTGATTGACAGTTATATAACCGACAGACGAACAATCATACCCCAAACTCTACTGTGTGAGGGTGAATATCTATAACAACCTCAGCAATTACTCTACTTGAGTAAGGTGTTTACCGATCCTGATATTTTGCTGAACGACTTTACCGGCCAGTCTGAGACCTGGAGCAAAGGGACCATGATCCAATTGGGGTATTCAAAAAGCAAAAAGAGGGAGCGGCATTTATGGAGAGCAGATTGGTGTGCTAGTCTTCTATTTATAAACCAATAATCAAACTAAGACGGCCCGATGGCTGGACTTGGAGTTGCAAATATGATGCACAACTCTTAGGAGCTGTTTGAACATGGAAAAACAAAATCAGACTATCCACAGTGATATTTTTATAAACGCGCAGCTTAACTTTCTGGAGCTGTTGGCTCGGTTGTACGCACAGTTGTGGATGACCCATCTCATCCAGCACCCTAATTGCCATTCACGAAGCTTTGCAATGCAGCGTGGGTCGCGTAGTATGCACCTTTGGGGCGGTAGCACTCGTCGAACATCAATGGCTTCGCGCCCTCTATCCAGGTGTAGGCGTGCTTATCCGTAAATCCCCAGAAGGTAATATCCGTGATTCCTGCGTGTAGACCCTCGCTGACAAGGTCGCCGTAAATCTCGGTCTGAAGGGTGGCGTTAAGCGTGTGGACATCCATTTCTGCAATCGTCGTTTCCAGCCCGAGCGCCTTGAAGCGATTAAACATCTCCGTGATCACCCCCGGTGGAACAGGGACCCCCTCAGTGACGTGCATCTGCAGGGCAACTCCGTCAATCGGAACACCATCTGCAACGAGTCCAGAGACCAAATCGTAAAGTTCCTGGCGCTTTCCTGGATATGCTTCGACCTGATTCTCGTTGAGAAACAGCCTGGCGTCCTGGTTTGCTGCCCTCGCAATGCGGAAGGCATCTGCAACGTAGCCCGAGCCGAGTACGTCAAGGAAAATATTAGACTGCAGGCCACCACCCAGCGTTTCGAGTGCTTCAGTAACGACATCCCACCTATCTACCTTGCCGTTATAACGCTGCATGATCGCTTCGAAATGGGCCGCCATTGCAGCACGGAACTCCGTGGGGTCAGTAATGTTGAGCAAGTAGTCGGGATTGCAGCAGGATGAGATTAGGCCGTGTCCCTTGACCACCATGTCATGTTCTCCAGCGAACGCAACGAGGCGGTCGATCTTCGACCAGTCGTAGTAGTCTTCGGTCGGGTGAATAAACTTCCACTTCATCTCATTTTCGGGGGAGAGGCTGTTAAACTGCTGGGCCAAAACAGTCGCAAAATGGGCTTCATCGAGATAGCTAGGGTTAATAGCGCCGGAGCCGATAAGAATGTCCTTTTTGGCCGTCTCCTGCCTCAGGGTAGTGAGTGCGCTGGTTCCTTGGATGCCAACGAGAAGGCCGATGATGAGTCGCGCGGTCTTCATGGTTTTGACAGGGAATATGTTTTCTTACTCTCTGGTACTGAATGTTAATAATTTCGTTTCCTCTTTGGCGGCTTTATACAGACATCCTTGGACAATACTCGTTGACGTCAAGTGACGCTCGGTCAGAGTTGGGTGCGATAATAGCACTATAGTCCCAGTATCGATACGAATACGACGGGCACAGCCCTGGTTCGAGAGGCCGCATGTTTTTGTCTGCAGTCAAAAAAAAAAAAAAAAAAAAAAAAAAAAAAACGGCCGAATTCAGAGGATTCCCTCGCAATTTCCCCGAAGTGCACCTTTCTTCTCAGGAGTACTGTCATTGTACTTCGAAGGTGAACACATGCCCTAATTTTTCTAAGGTATACTTGAATAACTTCGAACAGTATTTATGAACATAACTGCTGTTTATCGCTCCAAGCCTGTTTGAATTCGTGGATGACCCGCTCAGCTTACTTTACATAAGTTGGTGACATTGTGCTGAGATCCCAGCAGGTACACCGAATTTCAGTTCTGGAACAGCAGTCACCCGGGGAAACTAGGCAGACCTTTATTTCGTATTGAAGATCGACACCAGGTGGATTAGGTCTATGAATTCACCCGAATACGATTTGCGGCGAGGTGGAAACGATATGGGGGCCCACTTGATAATAGCTCGATGAATTCATCAATGAAACCCTAGCAGCTGTCCAGGGGTACGCGGCCAATTGGTATGCCGAGCACTTCATGTTCCAACATAGTTTTGAATATCTTGCAAATCCTCCAGTTCAGAAAGTTCAACGTAGCCAAGAAGTTCCCACTGGGAGCCGTGTATTTTGATCCTGTTATTTGCTGCTGCTGGACCTGAAGGTGGGCTACGTGGCCAGGGTGATAATACGCTCGATGCAATGCAAAAATGTACCGGGGAGGCGCAAGAGAACTGCCAGATTCAGCGGCAGTGCCTACTAAAGTCGATGAGGAACAAGTTGCGTGCGGTAAATAAAAGAAGAGGACATGGTCGGGGTGTTTCCAGTTTGTTCTTGTCGATCCCCGGACATGCTTCGGGATACGCGGATGCCGCTTCGCTGCCACCACAATGGAACTGCAATATCTTCAGCGATTGGTATAGATTTTACAGTTAATTAATAGACAGCCTTTCCTTCATTTGGTCCAGCCCTATTAGTCATGTATAAGTCATCGTTCACACAATAACTACTCCGAATGCCAAACTTTTCCTACATCATTATTGCGACCTCCATGTATCCACAGGTATCATAGTCTCACAGTTCTGTTCCTTGAACAGTAGGCTACCCAAGACATTCGCTACTCAATGATTCTCTTAGATACTTGTAGAGCTCACATATAAACTGTACATATACTTCGTATTTGCGTAAATAAATGCAGTGTCCGTCGATGGCTGGGAATAACATGGAGCCACTGGGTCTCGCCGGGAGAAAGCCATGACACTGTAGTTCTACGTTCAGGGGGAATTTTGGCCGCATGCTCAGAGACCTCTCCGGAATGGATATTCAAGGCAATGTACTGGAGTCCTGCCAACAAGGTCAGATGGCTGTCGCCTATGGCCCGCTCTGCGAATCCGCACTACCTCTGCTGAGGTATCTTCCTACCGTCCACAACGTATGAGCAGCACTGACTGGGCTTTGGGAGAAATCTAGGTGTCCTATCAGTGTCGCACAGATTATCAAGTCAATATCCAGCCAGATCGTAATCTGAACGATGGTAAGTAAAGGTTACACTGCCCTTATTGCGGCAACCTACGTAGATTGCCGTAGTTCCCTTTGCCATGCCGGACTAGTGTTCCTCAAATACTGGTCCGACATGTCAAGTGCACTAATTTACGACTTCTTTATGGAGATGTGAATAGGAACTGAGATGTTGGGCCTTTATTAAATCTGCTTGATTTTCTTCAGTGGTCCCATATTTAAAGTCTCGAAATCGACCACGACAGCTTTGCTACTCTCGACGTGGAGTGTTACGGACGACGTGTATTGGCAACATGTTGTGGGAATCACGCTGCATAGTAAAATGGTCTTCTCCTTGAAACCCCATCTGTGCAAGTAGGACCCAGGAAACATACTTTTATGTGCATGTTTTGATATAGATTACTACTTGCCCCATTGGGCCTACAGCGTGGATTGTTTTCTGGCGTTCCTTTTTGGTGAAAGGTCACAAGAAGCGACTCCTTTTCTCCTCTGCTTCTTGGCCCAACCTCTTGCAGAGCGATCGCAACTGTGCCTCGCACGCCGCGGAGCAGGCCAGGAGAACAGAACTCTTCTGGAATCGCACAGCACTACCTTGAAATGAATTCCCCTTCAGGAGGTCATGCAGGTTTTCCACATTGGATAGCAGCGCTGCAAGCTCGCCTACTAGGGTTCCGAATGACTTCCTTGCTGACCTCACAGAGTCTATGTACTTTTTCGAGGTGGTGATCACACTGGCAATTAGAGGCGGAAGGCCCACAAGGCCAACAGATATGCATAAAAGGTCCATTGCCAATGTGTCGGCGACTTTGCGAAAAGTGATGGCATTCTTTTGCGAATAGAAGTCAAAGAATGAATCCAAGGCCCATGCAACAGGCAGTGCAGTGCCTAATGCAACACAGCCATGCCTGTATCCAAACTCGGATAGAGCGTTCAGCGATACAGGAATAATAATGTTCCAAGTCATCCAAGATTATCTTTTAGTACAGTACGGCGACTATCTTTACAAATGGACTTTTGGATTTTTATAATGATTATGTCTCACCACTTCAGTCCTTTGTATGGTCGCACCCACCGCACTGATATCATGTACCACACAGCATCAATATTAAATAGTCATATAGTTGGAATATGAAATCCTTATATATTAAGATATTGCCCTTTATGGGTAGAATTTATATATAGATTTATATATATAGTCTTGGGTGAACCTACCTACTGGTACTGCGTCCACAAAATATATATATTTAAGTATGGTAGTATTTAATACACCTACTATATAATAATTTAAATCCCTACTACATGACAATTCAAATCGTGATTATATGGTGATTCGAGTCTCTCCTATCCATGAATTGGACCCCCCGCATCCCTACTATATGACAATTTGAATCCTTACTATATGGTGACTCGAATGAAGCCAGGAAGGCAGGTGGAAATGAGAATGCGGTCATCACTATGGAGAGACATGGTAGTCCGGCAAGATTCCATGGTCAATTAAGAGCTGCTGGAGTGAAGAAGGAGAGTGAAGATGCCGATCCTTTGCAGTAGAGAGCTGCTGTTATAAACGACGGGCTCTTTGTTCGAGGCTGTTGTGTCTGGATAATATCACAGATGCCCAGCCTCTTGATAAAAACGCTTTGCACCCTCGTGAAGCGGGATGGGGGATTGCGCCATCTTGGCAGGACTAAGTGGATAGGTCAAGGGAGACCTTTCAGGCTTGAGGTGCTTATACTGGCCCTCGATGGCGGATCTAGTCTCCACCAGGCACCAGGTCAAAAGGTGGGCGACGTCCTCGGGCAGGTCGTCACGGACGAGGACGACAAAGTCTGAAAAGTCGAGCGTGTGGAGGGGCTCAGTGAGGGTCGACCAGAACCCGGCCGGGAGCGGGTCAGGATCCTGGGCCGCGGTGTTTGGGTATTTCTCAGCAAAGCGAGCTAGAGCAGAAGGCTCAGCGTGCAGGACATCATACTTGTAATTTTCGATGATGTCCGCCCACCAAGGCGTCATGATGGCCTCTTGCAGCAGCGCATCAGCTTCTCCAGCCTGGACGAAGGCGATGGCCTGCTCGGGACGGTGCGCCGTAACGTACTTGCCGCCCCATGACTCGAGGACTTCAGCGGTAATGCCGTGGCACTCCATGAAGGCATAGGCTGTGAAGCCAATAAAATTGGTGCCGTCATTGGTGGACGTGGCGATGCGCAGTGGAGGGCGCTTCTGGCGCAAATCCTCGAATGACTTGATCCCGTATTTGGGGTCAATGGCCAGGATCAAGCGATCATTTTGCGGAAGCACGCCGAGGGCACGCAGCGAAGGCATTGGGCCGTAAGGGGCAAAGATGCCCTGGCCGGTGAGAGCGGTGCTTATCATTTGTGCCGGCGTCGCAATGGCGAGCTGCGCCTCCCCACGGAACACCTCGAGAACGGCTTCGATGCCGCCATAGCGGATGTTCCAGATCCCGACGCGACTATCCCGCCCTGCCCGATCACAGAACTGCTGAGTCAACCATGAACAGATGCGATGGAAGTTGGCCATGCCCCAGTCGCCCACAAAGTTGAGTCGGATGGACCGCTCAAGCCGAGGGCCTCTACTCTGCTGCTCTACGATATCTTTGACATTTGGTGTGGCCATCCTTGCCTTTGCTTCTGTCCTTGCAAGCGTGTTGAAAGAAGGGGAATAAGCCAGACGGACCTTCTGTTGGTGTAAGGTGCTGGACTTCGTGGTGGGGTAAAAGGGTGATTGCAAGTTTGCAACACAATGTGATATGTACTGTCCTGGTCAGCTTAAGACAGCAGCACACTACCGCTCATTCCGCGGAACGGGGGAACGGGGGAACAGGGGAACAATGTACCCAATTCCCAGTCTCTTAAACACCAAACAAAGCGGCGGGACCAACGACTGCAGCTCAGCGCCTGGAGCGGGACACTGGGCTGGCTTCTCAAACTAGTTTGAACTCCACACCTCCCCCACCTTGCCAAACCATTTATCATCACTGCACTTCCCTAGTTGGAAGAGGTCAGGATTGGTACTGATTTGACATTCAGGAGTTACAAGGAGTCATCAAGACGTGGTATAATATGTCCGGCGAACGTCACTTAGTTTGTCTCACTATTCTGTCCTACAAAAGGCCTGAAATCAGTGAACAATCCTATCGTGACTACATGCTAAACACACACGCACCTCTTGTTGGCAAACTACTTGAGAAATATGGGGTTTTGCATTGGACTATGGTGAGCAATTGCCACTACTCTTCTCAAATATGGCTGACTTGAAATCTATCCGACCTAGTCACACAATTCTAGCATCACACGGCCACTGACCGACGCCCTCCATGATGAACAATTCATCCACACTGCCGACTATCACAGCGTCGTGCAGTTTATTCTTCCCGACATCGAATGTTTTGCAAAAATGCAGCAAGATCCATTCTATGTAGAAAATATCAAGCTTGACCATGAGCGGTTTGCTGATACAGAGAAGTCAAAGCGAGCTAATTTGTGGCTATACCTTACGAAAGCGAAAGGACACTGACACCTTTGATTAGATTCATGGTGGGATCTTACACAAAGCTCATGGAAAATGGGCAATTCTTAGGGCCAGTTGCCGGGTAGTGGAATATACGCACCTCGTACTTTGGCAACAGTTGTGTTCTCCATTCTGGCTCGACAAAATCCAGTACCACCAATTTGCCACGGGTTTTGCTGCCCGATTTACCCTAATACAGGGTATCTATCTTGTCATAATGGGAGTTCACGCTCGCAACTTGTGTTTTCTGATAAAAATAAAAGCTTGAAAAGGAAACTATGAGAGACGAGGGAACAAAGGACTGAGAATGCGGTGACAGAGAAAAATTAGCTGAGAGGTTTTAGCTACATTCCAGTCCGGTGCAAGGTGTTCTGGCCTGGTGGAGGCACTCATATATATACATCCGTGAAAAATCCAACATGCTTTGTTTCGAGGCAAGACGGCTGCACACTTTCTCTCCCAATTACGGCAGAGGTATAGGCCGTGTCGCCACGGTCAACCGTCACCTTCAATCTCTTTTCGAGCGCGTTGGCCGGCTTCGAAGCCGTGCTGTGATCCTGTACTCTGCCTGCCAATAACCAGGTATAAACTGGAATGCGAGACCACGGAAAACCTTGCCGAGCACGAAAGGCGCGTAAAGCATGGGGTTCTTCGCTCGCGCACTCGACACTCCGATGCGAGGCTGGTTCTCCAATGAAGCAGATGTACAGACACGAACGAATCCCTCAGCCAAGTCCTCATATGAGCAGGCCATATAGGCAAAATCGGCGCTCACGACACAGCCTGTTGATCTCTCTTCAACGAGGGCATTTGGCTGGATAAGTGTAACAGAGAGAAGTTCTGGCACAGCTAGAAGCATCTCCTCGGCTTTGATTAAGTCATTGTAAGGCTTGGCGAATGCGTTTCGAATCATCCAATGTAGAAGGGCAGGTCGATCTGCTGCGAATTGGGGGTTCATAGTCGCGGAGGACAGCATGATGAGGTGAGGTTTTATCGAAGATTCACCCTTGCTTTGGAGGGTGGATAGTGCATTGATCGTTGCTCGAGCAAAATCCGAAAGAACAGTAACTCCTGGGATGTTCTCATTCTCTCCCAATGTGCAAATGATTGTGCTAACTGCAGCAAGACAATCCTGAATCATTGGCTGATCTTTGATACTTCCTTCAAAGACTTTCACTCGAGGGTCATTTGACAGAGAAGGGAACAGCATTTCTAGCTTAGCTCGGGAGCGAACATAAATATTGATACCTTGTGCAGAGATGTCAGAGTTCTCCAATAGCTTCCTCAGGACCATTCGTCCAGTATTACCGGTGGCACCTAGCAGGGCGAGGCGACCTGGGCCAGGCTTAAGATTCGACTCGGCCATGTCAACGATCCAGATTGTTTGATATGCGGCGTGAAGAATGAGGATTCAAAGTATAATAGTAATCTTCATGCTAAAATTCCTGGACCTTGCCGTGGCCAGCTATTTATGGTATGGACAGTTAAAAGCCACTTGCACATACATGTATGGAATTAGAATTTCCGTCGGATGTTGCTGGTATCAAAAAATGAATCAATGTCCCTCCTGTGCGGTAAAATTGTGTGGGACAAAAGAAAGAAACCGAAAGACGGGAAACCGAGACTCCATCATATGCAATAATGTACAGAATGAAGATTCTATTGAAATAGACATGGACATGAATTTGTAAATCATCTCTCTACTACCACTTCTCTGATATTACTGAATAGCACCACTGTGCAGTATGACAGCACACAGTTTGGAAACTCGGAGTCTTAGATCAACGACTCTCCGACCATGTCCCTTGCAAGCGGTGGGATTGAGAGGATTGTGAAGAGACTAAGAATTTCTTGTTTGCGGGACCGACCCACTGTCCCGCAGCCCCGTGCCCCAGTCCCGTATGTACAGTGTGCTAATGCTCGGAGGAGGCCGAGAGTCCGAGACACGCAAATCCGACACTACCTACCTACACCCGCAGAGCCCGCAGAGCCCGGGGTCCACCACCCCCGCAATAACATTAAACGCCACTTACTATTCTCCACAGTACACCCCATACACCCCATACACCCCATACACCCCACAATAGCAAAATAGATTACGGATATAAAGGAATATAACAGTTAATGTCGCAGACAGTCGTCCAGCCAAGCGTAGACGGTACCAATCATTTATCCACCAGCATTTCCCACGAAAGAGAATCAATGCTTCTCCCGGTCGCCTTTTCATCATCTGGTAAACGCTTTTGGAACAAACTACAATGGACGACGCTTCCTCACTCGTGCGACTTCCCTCGCCAACGCTCCCGCCGGTTCTCAAACCCGTGTTCACTCTTGAGGGCCACGACGACGAAAGAGCTACAACTCTGCGACGGCTCTTGGAGAAGGGCCATGCCTCGGTAGCACCGCTTCGAGAGCCCAAGTTAATTCTTCACAGTCATCTCCCTCATGTATGTCAAGGAATAGGCCACCCTGAAGTCTATATATTGTGAACGACGATGTTTACGCTAGTACTTAGCTTCTTGGATCGGCCTACCTTCTTGGTGCGAGCAGCAAATTGCTTGAAGAGCTTTACGAGCATGAGATCACGGATCTTGTTCACGTTGATGAAAGTTTCATCCGAGGCGATGCAGTCACACGGGAAAATTGGAGGGACTTTTTGGGCCAAAAAAGGTATCACCACGACTTCATCAAGTCTGCAAAGATCGAACCATTTCAAACTCAAGCTAACTGCTTGCGTAGCTACACGGTCGCTTATGTGGACTTCTTTGACGAGGAGATCAAGCGACAAGCTGGGGACTGGAGGGAGGTCCTAAAGGCGTATCTGTTCTCTGGATCGCAACCCCTTATCAATGGTTATGCAGGCGGTCGTAAGTCTACCATAATGCTCTCCTGTCTCTCAGATCTTGACATTTAGCTATAGTGGGCCACCCTTTTATCCACTTGGCTTACTCATGGGAGCTTCAGTCTCATGCTGTAGCTTCGGAGGCTCTATCCTTAGGGTGCACGGAGTACCTCCCACTCCACCATCTCCTTGATCAATATCCTCCAGATAACTCCACTTACAAGACCTCAAGCTTTGCCGAAGTTATCCATCGAATATATAAAGACGAGCGGTTTGACAACCTGTTCCCCGAACAAGGGATTACCAACCTCGAGGTACTGCTGCAAAAACGGTACGAGGCCGTTTTAGAACACTGGAACGCTTGGCAAGTGTCTGATTCTCTGGTGCAACTGGAAAACTGCTGTGATGTGTCAGTGCTTTTGGCAATTGGAACAGGCAATCGCCAGGCCAAATATGACTTCTATCTGGTCCATACAATGACCGTCGCGCACGCCCTGCGCGTTTTGTGGGACCAGTTCCCCAAGGAGCAACGCGCTTGTATCTTACGCCAATACGCGCTTTTCATAGTCTTGGTATACATTTGCCAAAAGAAGCCAGCTTTCGAAGCCGACATCATCGATACAATCCTGTCCGTGGAACTTGGTGGACAAGACTGGGAGTCTGTGCGGGCGAAGGCGTTGAGTCATCGGTGGCTTAAAGACTCGCACTTCTTCAAGGTCGTGCGAGCCCCCATGGCATTCGAAGAGACCTTCGGGAACAAGGACAACTTTTACCTTAAGGCATCTGCTAAGTTCATCGCTGAGTTTGACGGTTGGGAAGGATTTGGTCTTGGTGTTGAAGGCTTCCTCCCTAACCGTGATGGCTACAAGCCGACTTGAAGCCTGACTTGAGATTGTAGCAGGAGTCACTGACTGCGTTAGAAAGCAGCCGGATATGTTCGGATAGGGAATGGAATTTGTACTGCCTAACTGAGATTGAATGAATATTAAAGTATATCACCTTGAGCTCGTCCACCTCATAGGGTGGGCATCTCGTGCTAGCCCCTTGATCATACTTCATGAAACACAAACACGAGTCGAATAGTAGAAGAACAAACTCTTCCCTGCATACAAACTGCCCATTTCTTGGCTAATGAATAATTTTGAGGATTTTCTGGGCCCTCAAGGCCATTCCAATGCACAAGGTCGTTGTCCCGACTCCTGAGTATTCGCTGCCTTTTCCGCCGGAGCACCATCATGCCGGGGTGGTGGGTCACCCTGACCTCGCAGTGAGACAACTAATATTCTTTAAGGGTATATATACTTGCTGGTGCACAATATCAATACAGAAAAACATGCATCAGGTGGGGACATGGCATTGTGGGAAGCCCTGCACAATGCACCGGACTTAGTCTACATAACACGTTCTCAAAACCAGGGAGCCGGAAAGGAAATATTTTATTGAAGCTTTCGTATTCTACCACCACTGACTCCCATCCCCCAGAGGACAGTCATGTGGCCATCTGTCGGGTTTCGTGTCGCCCAGGCCATTGGCTTCATTGGTGCAGCCTGGCTTTCTGGTAAGCGCTAACTACTGCGAAATTGTGTATTTCATCTAACCACTTTCCCTAGGTAACATCGCCGCCCTGAGCATGAACGCGGTCCCGTCACTTCTCCGATCCCAGAAAGAAACCAACCTGCCTCTCACAGCAACCGCAAAGCAGTGGCGAGAAATGTACGAGGCCGGCAAGGCCCAAAACCGCCCCCCATCGCTGCCTTGACCGCTGCAGCCTATGTGTACCTCGCCATTTCGTCCCGTTCGACAGCACCCCTGTTCCGTGCGGCACCGTACTCCCGCGCTGGACTGTACACCGCAGCTGCGGTTTAACCCTGGGCATTGTACCTTTTACTATTGTTGCTATGAGTGAAACTAATGATGCGCTTCTGAAGGTCGCGGGGTCAAACAGGGGAAGTTCGGTGGCGAGCGATGCGGAGGTCGAAAGGCTCTTGCACGACTGGGTCTCTCTAAATCGAGTTCGGAGTTTTTTCCTTTTATTGCGAGCTTGATGGCATTTGCTGCAGCCTTATTGTAATTGGGGAATTGTGAGATTTTGTAAAGCAAGTATGTTTGGCAGCCATTCTAATGATGGCGGTGGAGGCGAGCATTCTTGCCTTATGTAGACTCAATGTTGAGTTCTAGTCTCTTTCTTGTCTTGACCTGGTTGAATGGTGTTTATAATGTATTGTGCAAGAATGGATATATGTTCTGTACCAGTGGCACTGTGGCCATGGTTTATGTAGGGACATTCTACTGCTTCCGGCAATGAGATAGGGCTTCTATTTACGTCTTATTTCTGTACAGGTTCTTTGTATTCCTGCTGTCAGTGGATAGCACCATACAGGGGCCCCACCAGTACAACATGAGAATCCAGTAGACAGGTTTACATGCAATGCATATAGCCCCTGAAGTATCACGATCGATTTGAGTACTTTAGACAAGACTAATCAAGACAGGTATATATTGGCTGGGTCTCAAGCAGCACCTGACATAGGAGTTTACTGTTTCAGGGCCTATAAGCCCTACCTGTTCTGACAATCCATTGTCTCATAACAAAACCCCCTCTCACAATAGAACGTCTCTGCCGCCGTAGTCAGCGACACCGTTGACTGGGCTTCGGTCGAGCGGATGCGACAACAGGCCATGCTCAGTAGAAATATGCTTATACTGGGCTTTGATGGTCGTTGACTTTGGTTCCTTTGCCATAAATCATTTTCTTCGTGAGATCCGAAACCGACATCCTCATGAGGGATGGACTTTATTGTTCAGTGAATGGATGTAAAATAAATGCAGCAATGATCGAAGGGAGACGTCCTCAACTCGATGGACGCCGATGAGCAGGTTATTAGGTTCATTGCAGCAATCGTGTCTGTTAGGCTTGCATATGGCATCCAAAACAGCAGAGTCCGACAGAATCATCCAGTCCTTAATGGTCAAACTCACATCCCTCCAATATTGAAACGCATTCTTTCCATTCATAAATTTTTATTTGGACCAGGTGAACTGCACTAAATAAGCACTTTGCATTCATGGGTAAGCAGTCTCCATAATCGATCAACGCTGCATCGGATCATCGTCGCTTCACTCCAAAAACCAAGCAGGAACCTCTGGTCCCCAAACAGCGAGCGATTCATCTCCAGCAGGCCCGTACCCAATTGGCGTCATCTCATTGACAATATCGCCATCTGCATAATGCTCAATCATATTCCCAGTTGTATCCCACCAGTAGTCAAAAATCTGGGAACCCAGTATATGCCTCCCCACTCCCCAGACAGAGCTATATCCTTTCTTCACGAGCCACTGGTGTCCTAGCTTCTGAGTGTCGAAATCATGGACTTCAAAGGAACAGTGGTGGACGTGGGAGGTCCTATTAGTGCTCATGAAGAAAGTATGATGATCTACGTAGTCTGCTCCTCGGTCAATGTGTGCAAAGAGAGCTACATTCTTCTTCTCGGATCCTTCACCAACATACAGGAAATCGGTGGGAACCAGATTGAATGTTGTCGTGTAGAAAGCCACCATTGCTGGGAAGTCTTTCACACATAGACCGTAATGACCTAGCTGCAGACCTGTTAGTTTATATAGCAGTGGATATAGATATAGATCGAGGGAATATACCTTGTGAACAGCCGCAGGTCCCCCTTCAAATCGTTGAAACCGGCGAATACGAGGCTTTTCAACCTCAGTGTTAAACACCAAGCTCTCTGGATACTGACCGGGCTCTGCCGGATGCTGGCCGTACATCAGATTCACAGGGAAGCCCTCAGGATCTGTGACCGTGACCATGTAGCCGCCGCCAGGTGCATCAGTGAGCTCCTTGATGGCAGATCCATTAGGAAGTTTTGCAGCCCTATCCATCTGGTATCAGCACCGGATAACTACAATACAAAGCTGATCTTATGCAGATGGAGAATGTGACGAATACCTTTCCAGATCCGCAAATTCCTCTACCTCATATGTCCCCCCAAGAAACCTTTTCTCCTCTCCCTTCTGCGCATAATACACGTACTGATCGGTCCCGTAACCCCTATACCAAACTTGGTTTGCTGTTCGTTTGGCCACGGACATGCCAAAATCTTCGAGGAAAGCAGTAATGGCAATCAAATCAGGATGCTGATACCGCATGTGGACCAATCTCACTAAGCAGATCTGGTTTGAGGAGTTGATCCCGCATCTCTCCTTCCAGGAGGCTACAGATTCCTGGTCTGGGCCGATTGCTGTGATGTCGGGGACGGATGCACCGTGGCAGGGACGCAGTATTGGTTGTTGTTCTTCTGCCATGTTTGCGAGAATTGTGAAGGACAATTAGTGCCTAGATTGTGTTGCCACCAATATTTGTGATTGGTTTCAGTTCTTATATGGCTGGATGTCCCGCCACTTCACATTCTTTTGCAAGCATCATCTCTTGAGGCATAGCGCAGGAGAGAGGTTCAGGTCCCGCAGCCGTCTTCTCCCCCGTCCCGCTGCAAATGGCTGGGGAAACACCGCAGGGTCAGGGGTAGAAACAATTACCAAGTATCATTATTGTGCCGCAAACAGCACATTGGAATGGAATTGGGCCTCACTTATAGTGGGAAATTATGTAGTTATAATGGTTATCAGAAAAGCAAATGCTACTTGGTCGTTCCAAGACATAGACTGAAATACAAAAATATAACTCCTTCAAATCCTTGCCATGAACATTGCTATATATACACAAATCATGTTTGGTGTAAGTAAGAAAGCATCTTCTGTACGGCTTCTCGCAGTTCTTTGATCTCATTGCAGGCAGCATAAATGAACCGGTCAGACCGAACAATACAATACCTTCCGCGAACCTCTCTGCCAAGGATAAATGGATCATAAAGCATGGGTTCTGGTCGTTGGTTGCAAAGTGACGAGCTTGCGAAATCTTCACCAGTAGCTAATTGGATGATGTCGTTCGGACAATCCTCAATTTCTTTGCTTTTCAGTTCCTCAAGGATTATAGGGACGTTGTTGGCTACTATCGTGCCTTTGGATAGCTGCTCGACCTCCCGCAGAACCTTTCGGACTTCCTGGATCTCTTGGCTATCGTGCAGGTAAACAAACATACGAAAGAGGCCTCCATGCTGGGAGCGGAAGATGATATCATCCGTGAAGACAATCTCTCCATTTGTTCTCTTGCCAAAGACTTGAGGAAGGCTGAGGCCACCGTTGAGTTCAGGGATGAAGGGCATCCCATCGGTATGTGTATACCGCACCGGGCCGTCCCGACGCCTGCCTAGTTCGAGTTGACGCTTCCAACTTGGAACAAGCTGAACTAGCCAGAAATACCAGTCCCTTATCCAGGCCTTTAGCGGTTGGCTCTCGGTGACAAACTTCCCGTTCTCAATGGTCGCTGCCAGGGACTTCTCCAGTTGCTGCTTGCGCTCTAGGTACCACGACCGGAGAATTTCGTGGTGGACTCGAGTATTGGACGGGTGGTACCGACAAAGCATGGCAAGACGCCATGCCAACGAGAGGGCGTCACGAAATCCAGACGCGATACCTTGACCACCAACTTGGACTATGAGCATCATTGCATAACAG